TCAACCTCGACCCCAAGATCACCGAGTGAGTGGCTGTGACCCCCGGGGCTCCCCCGGCAGCGACACCGCTTCCTCCGGCTCCTTGTTCCCTCCCGACACCCCGGGGCCGTGTTCCCGCTCCACACGGTGCCCCAACTCCCCACCGGCCCCTGCCCCGTCCCTCCCCAGCCCCGGCTGCCCCAGGACCCCCCGTTAGCTCCGGGCCCACCCGCTGGTCCCCGCTGCCCCCCAGCTGTGGGGCTCCCGTGCCCAGGAGGGCAGCACAGCCTGATGTTGCACCCCCAGCTCCCTGCTGGGCCCCTCAGCGAGGGGTGACAGTTGCTCACTCCAGATTTGCCAACCGGGCCCGGGTCCCCTCGGTGCCACCGGCAGCAAAAGGGCCTGGAGTGTGTGGGGGTGTCAGTGTCTGGGGGGTGTCCCGGGGGTTGTGCTGGCCCCACGGCAGAGGGGCTTAGGCAGGTGGTGACTGCTGCCTACATCATCCCTGGAGCCACTGCTCAGGCTGGAGTGCAGGGTTGGAAGCAGCTTCATTTTCTAAACTAGGGAAATGTTGGAATTTGAGGTTTGAGACTGTCAGGGTGGCCAAGAGCCTTGTTGTGTGATTTTTCTGGTGTCAGCAGTGGGATGTAGGTTGGACAGAGGAGAGTTACTCACTGGAATAACTGAGTGGTAACAGTGTGAGCAGCTGCTTATGGTGAAGAAGTGCATAAATCACACACGTGTGTGCATTTCGTGTTTTCTCCAGACTGCAGCTCATCATCTTCTGAGCAAACATGATGTTTGAACAGTTAAATCGTCAAGGAGATGAGACCTGCAGCCCAATATTTGGATTGTGTGCTGACAAATCAGTAGGTTGATAAAAAAAACAAAACAACAAACCAAAACAATTTGAGGTTTTTACACCTGTAAGAAACAAGCATTTTTTGTTACCTGTTGTGTAAATCTGCCATGGAAGACTTCTGTGATTCTCTGACTCTCTTCCTGCTTCTTTTTGGGTGTGTACAGGTGTGAGGGTTTTATTCTAAATGTAGTTCATCTCAACAGAGCACTTTTCCAGTAGTCTCTAAATGGGCTCATTAATGCATTGTGCTTTTCAGCCCTTCAGCTTTGGGTGGTTTCTACATGAATGACCATTTTTATCCCACAGCTCTGTTACTCTGGTTTGTCCACATTCACTGACCATGTAAAATCAGATAAAGGAGTTCTTGAGTGTGTGGTTTGCAGGGTCCTTAAAGACTCAGGTAATTGTAAGTGCATTAGATCCTTCACTTCTAGGGGTGATGGTTAGTGGTGGTTTTACAGACCCTGTTACTCTGATTCTAGACCAGGCAAGCTATAGCTTTATCTGGCAGAATGTACAGTTTTCATAGTTTGGGTAAAATGAGTTTTGCTCCAGGGTCAGAAAATCTGGGTGTTTCCTCAGGTGCTTCCTCACCAAGTGTTTAAAGTTTGCCCAGTGATGAGTGAAGGTGCTTGCTGCTGTTTCCAGACTTTATAGTGCTGTGTCTTGCTTTTGGTTTTGCTTTAAGAACGTGCTCTCCTGCATCTGTCTTGTTATCTTCGTTTCCTTGGCAATAAAAAAAGGGGGAAGTTCCTTTTAACACGTGCAGAGAGAAAGAGT